CCCAGGAGGCGGAGGTTGCGGTGAGCCGAGATCGCGCCATTGCACTCCAGCCTGGGTAACAAGAGCGAAACTCCATCTCAAAAAAAAAAAAAGAAGGGAAAACGGGCTTCTTGTGGCTCCATGCATTTTGATAAAATATCATTGTAACTTGTGAAAGGTTATTTGTACTTTCTTCTTAAGAAATATTTTTTATTATTTTTTATAGAGAATGAGGGTCTAGCTTTGTTGCCCAGGCTGGTCTTGAACTCCTGGCCTCAAGCAATCCTCCCCAGCCTTGGCCTCCCAAAATGCTGGGATTACAGGCATGAGCAACCATACCCAGCTGGTTACTTGTACTTTCTGTATTCTGTGTCTGATACTGAGCATCTTGCCTGATAAAGTGTGTGCTGAATGAATCATTGGATCGAATGAGGATAGATGAGTGGTTTTCTACAAATCATCTTCATCTCATTCCTTTAATTCATCAAATACTTGTTCAATGTATTTTTTTCTTAGCCTCTCTAGGGAAATGGCATCTTAATTTATACGTATAGAATCTCCCTGTTCACAGACATGCCTCAAACCTAACTTAATTTGAGACAGGAGTGATAATATTTGGAACTCTGAAACTAATTTTTTTTTTTTTTAGATGGAATCTCACTTTGTTGTCCAGGCTGGAGTGCAGCGATGCAATCTTGGCTCAGTGTAACCTCTACCTCCTGGGTTCAAGTGATTCTCCTGTCTCAGCCTCCCAAGTAGCTGGGATTACAGGTGTGCACCACTAAACCCAGCTAATTTTTTTTGTTTGTTTTAACACAATGTAAACAAACACCCAGCTAATTTTTATACTTTTAGTGGAGATGGGGTTTTGCCATGTTGACCTGGTTGGTCTCAAACTCCTGGCCTCAAGTGATCGTCCTGCCTGAGCCTCCCAAAGTTCTGGGATTACAGGCATGAGCCACCATGCCCAGCATTGAAAGTAATTTAAATATTGATTTTTTTCTTTAACTGTGAACTCATTCTGTTCAAATAGGGAACCTCATATTCCAAACATGTGCCAGGAAGGAAGAAGTTGCATGATGATACAATCATAAGAACTGATTTTTTGGCTGGGCATGGTGGCTTATGCCTAGCTGTTTTTTATTCACTTAAAAATGTGGCCAGGCGCAATGGCTCACACCTGTAATCCCAGCACTTTGGGAGGCATAGGCAGGCAGATCACTGGAAGTCAGGACTTCAAGACCAGCCTGGCCAACATGGTGAAACCCCATGTCTACTAAAAATACAAAAATTAGCTTGACATGGTGGCGCACGCCTGTAGTCCCAGCTACTCAAGAGGCTGAGGTAGGAGAATTGCTTGAACCCACAAGGTGGAGGCTGCAGTTATCCAAGGTTGTGCCATTACGCTCCAGCCAGGGCAACAGAGTGAGACTGTCTCAAAAAAAAAAAAAAAAAAGCCAGGTGTGGTGGTGCCCACCTGTAGTTCCAGCTACTCAGGAGACTGAGGTGGGGGAATCACTTCAGCCTGGGGACAGAGTAAGAACCTGTCTCAAAAAAATATATATTTTTAAGTTTAATTGTAAGTTTCACATTAAACTGTGAAATGAGCCAGTGGCAGTAGGGATACATATCCAGTAGATAGATATTTGAATTAGACTTAAAAGGACATGATGATGGATATGAGAGTAGGGATGAAGAAGAGAGCTAAACTGGATTTATAGGCCGGGCACTGTGGTTCACGTCTGTAATTCCAGCACTTTGGGAGGCCAAGACAGGTGGATCACTTGAGCTTTTTTGTTGTTGTATTTTTAGTAGAGACAGGGTCTCACCATGTTGGCCAGGCTGGTCTCGAAGTCCTGACCTCTTAGACCATTTATATTTAATGTTATTGTGGTTCTTTTTGAGATGGATTCTTGCTCTGTCACCAGGCTGGAGTGAAGGGTCGCAATCTCAGCTCACTGCAACCTCCACCTCCCAGATTGAGGCAATTCTCCTGCCTCAGCCTCCTGAGTAGCTGAAACTACAGGTGCATGCCACCACACCCAGCTAATTTTTGTATTTTTAGTAGAGACACGGTTTCACCATGTTGGCCAGGATGGTCTTAATCTCTTGACCTCGATATCCTCCCGCCCCCACCTCCCAAAGTGCTAAGATTACAGGCATGAGCCACCATGCCATATTGAGAAGTTATGGCCTAAGCCTGCCATTTACTTACTCATGTTTTATGGGAACCTGAAAACACTGTGTAGCCTGCTGTTAATGGGTGGAATGCTTCTAAATTTGGATTAGATACTGTTGGTTGATGGTATTGTTGAGTTCTATTTTATTCTTGCTGATTTTTCCTGTCTAGTTAGTACTAACAGTTGTTTTGAGAGGAATGTTTTATTTACTTATTATTTATTTATTTAGGAGACAGAATCTTGCTCTGTCACTCAGGCTGGAGTGCTGTGGTGTGATCTGCAACCTCCACCTCACAGATTCAAGTGATTGTCCTGCCTCAGCCTCCTGAGTAGCTGAGGAACTACAGGTACAAACCACCATGCCCAGCTAATTTTTTTGTTTGTTTGTTTTAGTAGAGAGAGGGTTTTGCCATGGTGACCAGGCTGGTCTCAAACTCCTGACGTCAAGCAATCCACCCGTCTCAGCCTCCCAAAGTGTTGTGATTACAGGTCATATATATATGTATAGATGCATATGTATACACATATATATTTTATTTATTTCAGACTCTGGAGTAGCTGAGACTATATATATCTCTATCTATCTATCTGTCTATCTATCTATCTATAGAGAGAGAGATTTGAGACAGGGTCTTGCTCTGTCACCCAGGATGGAGTGCAGTGGCATGATCATGGCTCACCACAGCCTCAACCTTAGTAAAGACAGGGTTTTACCATGTGGGCCAGGCTGGCCCCAAAACTCCTGACCTCAGGTGATCTGCCCACCTTGGCGTCCCAAAATGCTGGGATTACAGGCGTTATCCAACATGACTGGCTGAAAGCTTTGGTCTTAATGACTTGATTTATGTAACTACTATGTACCAGGCATTGTTCTAAACTCTTTACAAATAATAAATCATTCAGTCTACATCTCTAGTGCTCTTTAAAAATTACTAGCATGACATGTTAATATTTTGTGTTGTTGGCCGGGCATGGTGGCTCATGCCTGTAGTTCCAGCACTTTGGGAGGCTAAGGTGGGCAGATCATAAGGTCAAGAGATGGAGTCCATCCTGGCCAACACAGTGAAACCCCATCTCTACTAAAAATACAAAAATTTGCTGGGCATGGTGGCATGCACCTGTAATCCCAGCTACTCAGAAGGCTGAGGCAGGAGAATTGATTCAATCCAGGAGGCGGAGTTTGCAATGAGCCAAGATAGTGCCACTGTACTACAGCCTGGTGACAGAGTGAGATTCCGTCTCAAAAAAAAGGGGGGGGAACAGGTGTGGTGGCTTATACCTGTAGTCCCACCACTTTGGGAGGCCAAGGCAAGTAGATCACCTGAGGTCCAGAGTTTGAGACCAGCCTGACCAATATGGAGAAATCTCATCTATACTAAAAATACAAAATTAGCTGGGCATGCCTGTAATCCCAGCTACTCAGGAGGCTAAGGCAGGAGAATCACTTGAACCTGGGAGGCGGAGATTTCGGTCAGCCAAGAGTGAAACTCCGTTCAAAAAAAAAATTGTGTTGTTGAGTCAAGAATTACACAGAATAAGATTCTTGTTTATTCCATAGGAAACAGTCTTGCTATTTCACAGGAAGTAATTTTGTAACAGTGTCAAGTTTCTTTTCATGACATTGATATGAGAAACTCATAGTCTCTGCTGGAAAAGAGTTGAGCCCTGTACTGCAGTAGTCATGTCCAAAAAAAGAAAAAAACAAAAAAAACAAAGAGTAGAGTCCTGCACCAGAACTCTAAAAGCTAAGTCAAGTTTATTTTGTTGTTTTTTTTAATCTGAATTAGCAAATTAGCTATGTTACCAGTAATCTAGAAACTATTTCAGGTCTCTTAGTTATTGCTCACATGTAAATGACTCTTTACCTTAACATTTTAGGAGCAGTTTTTGTCAATGGAAAAGAAATGACAAATCAGTTACCTGCAGTTACTTCTGGGTCCACTGTAACATTTGACATTGAAGCCGTGACTCTAGGAACCACCAATAGTGAAGGTGGAAACTTCAAGCTTCGAGTAACTATAAGTTCAAATAACAGAGAAGTGGTTTTTGATTGGTTACTTGATCAGTCTTGTGGTTCTCTTTACTTTGGATGCTCATTTTTCTATCCTGGATGGAAAGTGTTAGTGTTTTAGATGTTTGAGTGCTTGGCTTTTGTTTTCAGGGTTTAACGTAGCTGTCCTCAGCCCAGTGTGATTGTAATCGCTTTTTTAAAAAAAAAGTTGAATTCATCTCTAACCTAGGCCATTGGAAATGGAAAGTGTTTACTGGATTCATTTTGTAATATTTTAGCAAAAAGAGGCTTGAATGTTGTGGACAAAATCATAATTCAGTCCACTTTTTTTTAGCATACTGTTAACTAAAGCATTGCATCATAATAAAAACCAAATTGACTAAAAGTATGAGAAGATGTAGAAAGTTCTATACCCTTCCACTGTACTTCTTACAGTTGGTTATTAGACCAGGAAAATTTAACATAATATTATATTTTAAATCATCATAAAGGATCCAAGTTTCTTTAGAATAAAACAAGAGGAAGAGATCAGAAGCTGTGTAATATATTAATTTGCTCATATGCTGTCCAGGTGAATATGTTGACTGTGCTCTTCGTGTTCAGGTATTTGTAAGCAGTGTTGACTTTTATCCCATCTTCAATAATCTTTAGGTCCCCAAAACATTATAATTTTTTCCTTTCTTTGTGGTGGGGGTTGTGGGGTAAGGACAGAGTCTCGCCCTTGTCGCCCAGGCTGGAGTGAAATGGCATGATCTCAGCTCACTGCAACTGCCGGCTCCCAGGTTCAAGTGATCCTCCTGCCTCAGCCTCCCAAGTAGCTGGGATTACAGGTGCCAGCCACCACACCTGGCTAATTTTTGTATTTTTAGTAGAGATGAGGTTCACCATGTTGGTCAGGCTGGTCTCCAACTCCTGACCTCAAATGATCCGCCCACCTCCACCTCCCAAAGTGCTGGGATTACAGGCGTGAGCTACCCTGCCCAGCCTAGGCTACAGTATTTTTACAGGGTAAAGCTACTTATGGAAGTAGTATGCACAGCAGTGTTAGCCATTTCGAATGTATGAAATATGCCCTTGTGTGTATCCAACCTGCCTGTGACATGCATTTTACTCTTTGCAGAGTATGACCTGCAGTCCAGTTTAATGTCAGTTTGATAAGTGGTCTCTTAGTGGACCAGAAAAATATAGGAAATAACCTATTTTTTTGAAAACTTAAATTCGTGTGTAAAATATTTATTTGAAAGACTTTAATATGTAAAAACAATTGTCTTGCTATGCCAGCCTACAGATTTTATTTTAATGTGAATTATTTTTTTCATTTTTACCAGTAGTAAAAAAATAGAAAAGCAAGTATGATATTTTTGTAAGATAATTTATTTGGGGGTTCATGTTCCCTGTTAGACAATCATGACCTTTTCTCCTTGTCTTTTTATGTATAAGTAAGTAGATTTTCACTTGTTTAGGGATTAAGAAGATGTTCTAGAATGTAGATACCTTGTCCATCCATCAGAATCAAAATAAAAAACTAAAAGAACAATGTGTGTACTTTTTTCTTCTGTGAGATGTGATGAATTCAGTTTTAATCTACCTTTCATTAGAAGGGAAAATGGACGGCCGGGCGCGGTGGCTCAAGCCTGTAATCCCAGCACTTTGGGAGGCCGAGGCGGGTGGATCACGAGGTCAAGAGATCGAGACCATCCTGGTCAA